TTTGTGGGTGCCCACAGCCCTCCGATCTCCAGCTTGGCTTAGCATTTCCTTCTAAGCCTCAGGCCCTTGACCGCCTCGTTCCGCCCGCACGGTCAACGCGCCCGGTTGGACGCCCTCCAGCCGTCGCCCCGGCCCCTCTTCCCAACCTGAGCGAATTGCGCAGTGCCCCACACCTGGCTCTGCTCCCGGAATGACCTCCCGGCGCGGCGCGGACCACCTCCCCCTCCCTGCAGGAGCGGGTCTCCACCCTATCCCCCTGTGGCCTCTTGGTGAGGACAGCCGCTCCCCACACCCCGGAGCCGGGACCCACTTTCCCCTGCACACGCGAGTCTGCGCGAGAGCGCCCCCTCTCGGCTTCCCGCCGCTGGCTCAGAGGATCCTCTCGCGCCGCACACCTCCTCCTTCCAGGGACCCCTCAACCTTCCCCAGGGTGGCCACTGACAACTACCTCAAGCGGTGCCCCCCGCCCCCAGATCTCCCTTGACGCCGCCCTCTCGGACCCTCCGTCCCAATCGCTCCCACTCGGTGCTTTCTGCACCCGGGGCGGAGGAGAGTCGTACCCGACGCTCCTGCTCCTAGGTGCCCCCCAGCATATGTGGATGCCCTGTGGCTCCCTCTCTGCTCTCTTAGATGCGACGGCCCTGGCGGCTGACGCCTCCTCGGCTCCCGTCCCTCCTGCCCCGCCCGATCTGATTATCCTGGTCAGGCCACGCGGGTGACGGGGTGCCCACGCCACCCCCACCGCCACCATCATCAGAGCAGGCTGCGGGCTGCGGTGCGGGAGGCCAGGCAAAGACACCGACCTAACCGTCCAGGTCACTCAGGCCAACTGGGCGGCTCTCCTTTCTTGGCCCAAATCAGAAAGGCCTAGAACTCCTTCATTCCAGCCTGTTCATTTGCCCCAGGCTTGCATTTTTAAGCTTTTTAACTCTAAACGAGTGACTTTATCTACATTTAAAGGAATTTCAGGAATGACGTTCATGATGCCAAGGTCCCTCACTTCCCTTTTATCTGTATACTCCACTCCCCCTTGCCTGCCCCTAGAGTTGGCCATTCCTTTCTGTTTATCTTTTGTTTTCACGTGTTCTAGGGAAAAAAAAAAGTTTTGCTGGCATACATTTTAAATTTGTGTAAAAGGAATTGTATTCTCATTCAAGTTTCTTTTCACTCAGTGCTAGGATTTCGAGATCAATGCGTATAGCTTCCTCTCCTAACTGCTGTGTTCATCCACCTTATGTTACCTTTCCCATCTCCTGCCACCACCAATAGTACAATCATCCCTCTCAAATACGTCCCCTTATGCAGCGCTTCTCAAACCTTTGCGTGCATATCACCTGGGATCTTGTTAAAATGCAGGCTCTGATTCCACAGGCCTGGCGGGGGGCGGGGGGGCTGAGACTCTGCATTTCTCTCCAGCTCCCAGGGGATACCTATACTTCTGGCCCTGGTGGGACCACTCTGAGGAGCCAGGCCCTTACGGGCCTCTGTGAGACTTCATTTTGGACTGCTGGGTCACAGGGTATGGTTTGATCGAATTTGATAAATATTGCCCATCAGCTCTGCAGTCTGGCTGTACCACCTTATCCTCTACCAGCAGACACAGGAGGGTAGAAGGTATATATTTATGTGGGGAAGGGAAGAAGGCCTTCTCCTTGCTTCTGTCCAAATCCTTCCTGCCCCCCATGTCCGCAGTGTGCCTGGTCTGGGCCAAAACCTCCTCTCTCCCCTAATCATAATGGCCCCAAGGCTCTGAAGTGATGTCCCTGGCCAGCAATGGCCAGCCAAGTCAGTGAGAGACCCAAGACTGGCATCCTGGCTTCATCCCTGACAGGAGCTCTTAAGAACAGGTATTGAGAAGCCCCAGGGTCTTCCATGCGGTTGTATTTCCTCCATCGCGTTTGCTTGAGTACAAAAAACTAGGGTGAACCAGGATTCAAACACGCTGGCTTTGCCACTGGCAAACGGCGATCCTGAGCCTGTCTCCTCATCTCTAAAATGGCATAGCTACAGCTTATGGCATGAGGGGTCAGTCCAGGAATTTTGCCCACATGCCACGAGCCCCACAGGGGCCCTAAAACAGGTGTTCTTGCCTTGGTTTTACCCTTGAGGAAAATGAAGTTCAAGAAGGTAAACTTTAACAATTTCCACCAAGGCCATGGAGCTAGAAAGTAACAGTGCTGGGATTCAAACCCATCCTCAGCCGATACCCCAGAGCCCAGGCTAATCATGAGGCTTCACCATCTCCATGTCCTGCCTTGCCCTTCCTCCCAGGCCACATTTGAGGGAGAACCACAAGGAAACTGGGAGGAAGGACTGTGCCTGGGGTTTGGGGCACTGGTGTTGAAGGCCTCTGACCAGTGGCCTGCATGGTTATGAAACTCCACTGCAAATGGGTTTTTGGCAAAAATAAACTTAGGTTCTAGGGTCTGGTTCCCATGGCCTGAATGTTTAGGTGGCAGGAGAGAGGAACTTTGGTTCTAGGGCTTCAGGAGCAGAAGTTTTAGGGTTAGATAGCCCCGCCCCGTCCCTCACCCCCCTACCCGCCCCCCGTGCCTGCCCATCACGACTGGGTGGAAGACAGGGAGGGTCAGGAACTGGGTGGGGGTCCGGTGGGTGGGTCTGAGCTGTGGGTAAACTATCTACCATGTGCCTCACTTGGTAATAACCGATCACGGTTTTGTTTGGAGGGTTAGCTGCTGTGTGAAGGGCCAGAATGCTGGGCATGAAGGGATGCCCCCTTCCAGACCTTCCTGGAGCTGTGAGCAGCAGTCGGGACAGCTTCAGAAACTCATGGGCTCTGCTTTCTCCACTCACACAACTGTCCAGGCGTCTCTGGACGCCAGGCCTCAGCTCCAAGCATTTCACAACCAGGAGAGATCAGCATGTGCACGTTTGGAGATTTCATGTCACACAACCTTTTACATCTCGTCTACACCCATCCACCCCTGTTTACCATCGGAGGGCCAAAATTGTATGCATGACAGAGCGTTTCTCTGAAGGCCCAGGGAAGCTTCCTGCTCTTTGAACCACCTTCAGGGTCAAAAGACCCGTTGAGCCTACAGATTATTCTCAAACTTCAATATAATACCTTACAGTTTTCTGGTCTTTACGAAGTACCTCACACATAGGCAGTATTGCCTTTGACTCACAACAACCCCATGACAGGGTTGGGACCCACTTAACACCGAAGTCCAAAAGAATTAATTGGCTATGGCCACACATTGTGTAAGTGGGGAAATGGGACTTCTTGTTCATTTTTCCATCACAGACCTTAGGAATCTTAAAGTAGTTCTCCTCTGGGATCCTCACTACCCTAGCTGGCCCACTCCCCAGACTTGGGGGTGCTCACTGAGGCAGAAGGTAGGGAGTCTAGGGAGTGGGAGATGCCTGGGCAGAAAGGAGCAGGAGGTGAGTTAGTTGAGGTCTCACGGGGCTTCTGGCCATCCCTCTCTCAGCTAGGTTTCTGTCAGTGGCCCCTTTCTAGAGCTTGGGGAAAGAGGGGCGTTAGTACCAGGGCTACAGAGCTAGAAGTTCTCAATAAGTCTGCGGCTGAGACAGCTGAGCATCTGTGAGGAAAAGCAGCTGCCAGTTGCCAAGGGAGGCCTGGCGGTGTCACCACACCCTTGTGGGAACTCTCGGCGGCTTGGCCATGCTCTGCCCCTGGCTCACTCTTCTGCCCTGCCCCTTCTTCTCAAAGCCCCCGATGCCCCACACTGAGGACCTGGAGCATCGGCTTGAGGGAGGTGGCCAGAGGTCGGGCCGGTCTACCCGGCCAGCTCTAGGCCACATCATGCCTGGCCCGAGCAGTGCTAGGGACAGGGCAGGGGCGGGGCTGGGGGGCTGAGGGGGTGGGGTCTGGGGCCTGCTGAAGCCACTGCCCTCCCCCTCCCTGGGGCCTCAGGCCCTAGGCCAGGGCTCAACAGACACAGGCAGCGGGATGGGGTTGCCCTTCTATTGGTCCAAGTCCTGAGTGTAGTCTGGGTGAGACATGGAGGTGAGGAGGCCCACGAGGCTCAGCAGCGTGGAGAAAAGCAGCAGGAAGGAGGCGGTGAAAAGCAGGGTGGGGAGGGCACTGAGCACCAGCAGCAGGATGGCTGGCAGCAGATGGCGCCACGCGGCGGCCACGACGGGCCACAGGGAGCTCAGCAGGTAGGAGCCGGTGGTGAAGAGCGCGTGGCACAGCGTCAGCGCCAGCAGCAGGTAGAGGATCCCCTCCAGCCCCCACAGCACACGCTGGAGTGGCTGCCGCCAGCCCGACGTGGCCCACCACTGGGCCCAGCTCTGGGGCACGTGGCACAGGCACCAGCGCACCCAGGCCTGACGCGTGGCCCAGGCTGACCAGGGCGTGGCCCGCTGCGGCCCCTCGCCGGCCCCGATGGCATCTGTCTCCACCTGCGGCTGCGGTGTCATGGCTCTGGTGCACCTGGGGAGAGGGTCAGGCCAGCTGCAGGAGCAGCCCTGGAGACCCTGGGGCCTCCAGGCAGGCGGCGGGGAGGGGGGGGGCGGGTGCAGGGATCAGGAGGGGACCAGCGTGGGCGGGCCGGGACTTTGAGCTGGGGCCTGGATCTTACCTCCGGGCAGAGCCACCTAAGTCATGTTGCTTCCTGCAGCGCCCAGGATGGCCTAGCAGCCAGAGTG